CAGGGTATGGACGAAAGCGGTATTATCGGATATGGATTTTTGGTAGGGGACCGGAATACCAAAATGTTCGGCGAACTCAATTTCGTTATGGAGTGGTTGTGGTTAAACAGACGAAACTTGAGTTCATCATCCCTAAAATCAGCTTCATCGGTCTCAAATTGCACCGAACTCATGAATTCATAGATTTTTTTCGTTAGAGTGATATTGCATTTTGAATATACGATCCATGCTCAACTCATGAAAAAATTTCCTAGTGCTCTTATACACTCCTAACTCATTGAGAGCATCATGGCATAAAAACGGGAGGGTTTTACTTACCTTGCAATTGTGGAGATGAAGCGGGTTCGGTGTTCGTTGTCGGCGAAGATGATGTCCTCGTAGCCTAGGATGGATGACATAGCGTTGGAGCTCTTCCCTTTTTCCTTCCTTGGTGCCATTTTTGGGGGATTTTGAGCTTGAAATCCGAAAAATTGAAAGTTGGGGTAGGGTTTTTCGGACCTCTCGAAACTGGGGGAAAGTTGGATTGGTGGGTATGGGTGTGTAGAGGAAGATGAGGGGAGTATTTTGGTGTTGGAATGGGGTGATTTGGTGAAAAAATGGAGAAGATATGGTAGAGAGAAGTGTTAAAAATGGAGGTTAGGAGGGGTTCGAAGTTTGGGTTTTGGAATTTGGGGAAGATGAAGTGTTTGGGGCGGTTTTGGGGTTAAAACGCCCGTATACCCGATAGAGTATGTGTTGTTACTCGGTCGAGTATGGCTGGAAACCCGATCGATGATGGATGCTATCTTTCAAAAAATGAATACTTCTTCGATCGAGTAATGCCCGGTTCCCCTTCTTTTGGCCATACCCGACCGAGTATAAGGTGGTACTCGATCGGGTATGTCCCCAGATGCTCCAAACCCTACATTTTTTTGTTTTCAAGAAGATGTATAAAGAAAACTAGAAGGAGAACATCGATCGTATATTCAAGAAGAAGAGAGGAGGAGAAGAGAAGATGAACACTAGAAGGCCGTAAAACCCAAGATGTTCTTTGTAATTTGAGCTTAAAACTCATTTTTGTTATCCGTGGTGGTATTTGTGTTTGTATGTTGTTTAAACTGTGGAAACTTTGGAAAAACTTGACACTTGTGAACATTTGATCTTACTCGAGGACGACTAAAGAAACTAAGTGTGGGGGAGTTGATACGTTTGTAATTTCCATATGTATGTTTGTGTTTTTAATTAGTTTTGCTTGATCTTTACTTTGGAAATTACACACTTTTGGTGTAATAGTTTAGTTTGTTAAATTCTTGTAAATAGTTTAGATTAGGTATATTCTGAGCTCAAGCAGGTCTTGATCACTCAAAGGACAATTGGTGTACCCCAAAAGTGGAAGGAAGGTGCAAAAAATCAAAAAGAAAGAAGGATCCTGAAATTTTGGTCTATACTCGGTCGAGTATTACCTATACTCGATCGGGTATTAGGTTGAAACTTCAAATCGGATCAGATCCAAAGACAAGGAAACATGTCGGGAAGATTTCGGCCACGATTAAGTGTCTATACCCGATCGGGTAGACCGACATACCCGATCGGGTATGCCTTTGAGTTAAAACGTAAAATCGGTCGAGTATGGCTCGAATACCACTTTCTACGCATACTCGACCGAGTATAAACATATACCCGATCGGGTATACCTTTGGAAAATAGCCTAAAACCGATCGAGTATACCTCGAATCTGGTATTACAAACATACTCGATCGGGTACCATATATATATACCCGATCGAGTATCCGAATCTCATCCCAAAAGCCTATAAATACACCCCCTTTCCTTCACAAATGATCATCCAATTCCTTTGTACATCTAAGCTCAGTATAGAATAGTTCTTTCTTTATATTTTTCATCATGTTTAGTTTCCAAATGAGGATTTAAACTCTTCCATCTTGGTTTTACTACTTTGAAGCTTAATGAATTTGTAAGTTTTGAGTTATTTTCTTTAATCTTCTTCCTTGAATATTAATTCTTCCTTTAAAATACTATTTCTATATCAAAGTTGGGGAGTGTTACTAAGATGACAATTAGTTAACATCTTGACATTGGTTATAGTAATAGTTATTTCTTCCTCTATGTTAATTTTGGGGAGTGTTACTAAGATGACAATTAGTTAACATCTTGATATTAATCATAGTAGGATTCATATTCTTTAATATTCTTCCTTGAGTATTAATTAATTCCTAATCATATTTCATGTTAATATTTTAAACATTACTTAAAGTATCAACTAATTTTGTTTCTCATATTAATTATTACTAGAATCAATCGGTTAATACGCTTGTTATTAATCCGGTTCTTTCAATGGTAGTAAACTTGGATTATTAATGCATGCATCTCATGGTTAATATGCCAAGGGGAATTAATTTTATTCATTAAACCAATAACCGCTTGTGTTGAGGTTATCAATCTCAATCGTTTTCATCTTAAGTTTATTGCTACTATCAAGTTAATATACGACGCTTGTTCTATATTGACTCGATAGTAAGTTTTATTAATGAACGCATCTCGTTATTAATAACTACCCTCGATGAACTGGATATACTCCTCGATTGAGTATTCGAGAGGAAGATAGTTAAAGATATAACCGGGATCGACGAACATTTCATTAAGCGGATAAAAGCAAAACTAAGCCACCACATCTATTAATCAAACTCATATAAGTCGTTCATTTTAGTATTTTTAAATCAAATAAAACTTAAAAACCCCCTTGTTACTGTTTATATAAAAGAAAAGTATTCCTTTCCCTGTGGATACGAACCTTACTTCATTATACTACGTATAATGGTTGTATTGTAATTATTTTGAGTGCATCTCACGACAAGGGCACGTCAAATTTGTAGTTGATACGTTTGTAATTTCCATATGTATGTTTGTGTTTTTAATTAGTTTTGCTTGATCTTTACTTTGGAAATTACACACTTTTGGTGTAATAGTTTAGTTTGTTAAATTCTTGTAAGTAGTTTAGATTAGGTATTATCTGATCACTCAAAGGACAATTGGTGTACCCCAAAAGTGGAAGGAAGGTGCAAAAAATCAAAAAGAAAGAAGGATCCTGAAATTTTGGTCTATACTCGGTCGAGTATAGACCAAAACTCGATCGGGTATTAGGTTGAAACTTCAAATCGGATCAGATCCGAAGACAAGGGAACATGCCGGGTAGATTTCGACCACGATTAAGTGTCTATACCCGAACGGGTAGACCGACATACCCGATCGGGTATGCCTTTGAGTTTAAACGTAAAATCGGTCGAGTATGGCTCGAATACCACTTTCTACGCATACTCGACCGAGTATAAACATATACCCGATCGGGTATACCTTTGGAAAATAGCCTAAAACCGATCGAGTATACCTCGAATCTGGTATTACACACATACTCGATCGGGTACCATATATATACCCGATCGAGTATCCGAATCTCATCCCAAAAGCCTATAAATGCACCCTCTTTCCTTCACAAATGATCATCCAATTCCTTTGTACATCTAAGCTCAGTATAGAATAGTTCTTTCTTTATATTTTTCATCATGTTTAATCTCCAAATGAAGAGCTAAACTCTTCCGTCTTGGTTTTGCTACTTTGAAGCTTAATGAATTTGTAAGTTTTGAGTTATTTTCTTTAATCTTCTTCTTTGAATATTAATTCTTCCTTTAAAATACTATTTCTATATCAAAGTTGGGGAGTGTTACTAAGATGACAATTAGTTAACATCTTGACATTGGTTATAGTAATAGTTATTTCTTCCTCTATGTTAATATTGGGGAGTGTTACTAAGATGACAATTAGTTAACATTTTGATATTAATCATAGTAGGATTCATATTCTTTAATATTCTTCCTTGAGTATTAATTAATTCCTAATCATATTTCATGTTAATATTTTAAACATTACTTAAAGTATCAACTAGTTTTGTTTCTCATATTAATTATTACTAGAATCAATCAGTTAATACGCTTGTTATTAATCCGGTTCTTTCAATGGTAGTAAACTTGGATTATTAATCCATGCATCTCATGGTTAATATGCCAAGGGTAATTAATTATATTAATTAAACCAATAAACCGCTTGTGTTGAGGTTATCAATCTCAATCGTTTTCATCTTAAGTTTATTGCTACTATCAAGTTAATATACGGCGCTTGTTCTATATTGACTCGATAGTAAGTTTTATTAATGAACGTATCTCGTTATTAATAACTACCCTCGATGAACTGGATATACTCCTCGATTGAGTATTCGAGAGGAAGATAGTTAAAAATATAACCGAGATCGACGAACATTTCATTAAGCGGATAAAAGCAAAACCAAGCCACCATATCTGTTAATCAAACTCATATAAGTCGTTCATCTTAGTATTTTTAAATCAAATCAAACTTAAACCCCCCCCCCTTGTTACTATTTATATAAAAGAAAAGTATTCATTTCCCTGTGGATACGAACCTTACTTCATTATACTACGTATAATCGTTGTATTGTAATTATTTTGAGTGCACCTCACGACAAGGGCACGTCAGTGCATGACTACAACAATTATCTCAAACTCTCAATCATGGACGTCTATACGTCTCATGGTTGACAATATAATTTAATGTTAGCATCCAAAATAGTTGGGATTAAGGTGATGATGATTATTATGATGATGAGGCTTAATAAATAGCTATAACTTTTTTAAGATTCATAAAAATACTACCGATTCTTAATTAACTTGACACTTTGACGTCACACATATTAAGAAATTTTACTGTAGAGTACACTGTTGTGACACTGTTTGACACTGTTTGGCACTGTTTTGCACTGTTTTAGTGTAGATTTGTTTGCCAAATAAGGAAGTGTAAACTTGGTTGGGACATCCAAAAAAGGAAAGTGTAAACTTAAATAAGAACCGGAGGGAGTATTTTTTATCAACAAAGCATAAAAGAGATGAGGCGCCTTGTACTTTTTGCAACTTTAGACAGCTACGATCACTTACTTGTATTTGTCCACCATGGCCACTGACCATGTCAATCAATTTGATATAAGATCCTTCTTCAACGGGCTCATACACCTATAAGAAAAAAGGGGAGAAAATTTATTGAACTGTAAATTTGTTTTGAGCATATTTAGATAAGGGTCTATTAGGTGAGTTGCTTTTTTGGACTGAAGTGACTAAAATAGCTGAATATGCTGATTTGTTTAAATGACAAAAAGTCTAAAATAAACTATAATGTTCAGATGGTTTTCTTAATAAATTGAAGGAAATGCTGTGTATGTCTATGTATGTACAATTGTGTATGTATTTAGTCATCTAAAGGGTGGAATGCAACATCACCTTTTCTCTTCATTTCAGTCATTTCATTAAAAAGAACTAAATTTTGAATTACCTTGTTGTATTAACAGTACACCATATTTGGTCAATGGTAAGAAAATGATTGTTTGGTGGACAAAATGGATGATGAGGGATGAAGAGTGATCAGGTTTTTTATTCTTCCACCAAACAAGCATTATGAGTAGTTGTAAGAAACATCTTTAAGAAAATTACTTTCTCATAATTAGCCAAACGGTTTTTGAAGTCTCTATATCCTGCTTCAAAATCTGGCCTGTTAACAATGCCAAAAGGAAATTTAATTTGGATAATAACAAAAAAGCAGTATATTAATAATGTCCCTATAAATAAGAAATAGGTGTTTATCGCAACAATACTGTTCAGCATAGTCTGGGCTTTGTTGAACTTTGAGTCGAATGTTTCTTTCAATTATTTCAGGGTCATTGCAAATTGTTTCCAGAAAAATAATCTGCAAGTGAAACAAAACCGAGGGAAAATACCATTAAGATTTAGGACTAAAAATTCAGATCAGCTGCAGATAATTATACAACTTAGTTTGCCACCAACTATGATCTACCTAAATGTTGTAATTGGCATGTAATATATGCTTCTGGACCTAGTTTAGCATGCAAGAAATTCCCTAAGTACAATATAAGATGTTATTTTAGGAATGCTTAATCTCAACTTTCACACAAAAGGTTTGATTCTGTGCAAAAGAAATACCAGCTAACACTCCAACTCTGCATTCAATAGAGCACACAAAGAACTATACACATAGTAACATGGGCCACTAGGTATCCCCATGGGTATTTGACCAATTTCCATTGAAGAATTTCATTATTCAACAGCTGGAATGAGTATATCAAGTAATTGGAATTGGGAATGATAATGTAAAGTACAAGCATACCTTGCATCTCCCCTCAGCCAGTTTCATAAGCATATTCCTTCTTTGCCAGGTGCTGTTAGTGGCATCAAACACTCCTACCTGCAGAAGTTAGGGATCAAGATTGTCATTATTAAATTAAATAATTGAAAGTGTAATCCTCATATGAGAATAGAAAAAACATACCTGGCCACCTTCCTGCATCCATGCTATCATATCTTCCATAGCAAGGGCGGCTACCTAGTAGAGTGCAACGACTTAAAACTATGTATAAAGCAAAAAAATGATGCAGCAGAAATCAAATACAACATAATGAAATTATGAATCTGCATATGCATCATTGACTATGCTTCATTAGCAGCATGAAAGAACAAGTCTAACAAAGTATAGGGTGCTGACTAATTTGTTTATAGCTCGCATTCACAACATAAAATATAAAACATACTGCCTCAGAGTGCCTCCATCCCAAAACTTTCTTCCCACTATAACTTGACACCCTTATTAAGAAATTCAAATGGTGTTTTTGTGGTTTATCGGGAAATGAGAGAAACAATGTCAGCCACACAAAGATTTCCTTAAAAGGAAAGATGAAGAAAGTTGGCAACCCAATAAGGAAAAGGGGAAGAAATTTATGAAATTAAGGGACTAATAGAGATGAAAAGTTTACTTTTCCTACACCTTTTCACATTTAATCAGAGAAAGAATTTTACTTGTCCAGGAAACAAAGTCTTGAAGGATTTACTTTAAGATAATTCATATGGTGTTCTTTCTTTTATGATCATGAGATGTACATGATAACCCATAAAATTACACTAAACAAAATATACCTCATTTCGAGCCTCCAGACCTTCAGGATTGTCACCACGAAAGAAATCAGCCCACTGCATAAAGAAGATTACAGATGATGCAATAAATTCTTGAAATATCAGACATTCTAGCTTAAAACCAGTTTTCAATTAGTAAAGTAGTTCAGTAAACAGGCTGTAATTAATATATGGCTAATTTCCCACATTCTTGCAGATTCTTGAATATCACTAGGCAATAGCCAAAAGGTGGGCAGCAGAAACGTGGCTTGGAGCCTAGGGGCAGAAGCGAGGTCCGCGAGGATTAGTCAGTGCCTAGAAAATATACTTCTGTGATAAATATATCATCAAGAACTTTTTGTAACTTGTATTACTCAATAGTTCAATGTTGAGCTTAAAGCTTTGCTTGGAGCAAGGAAATGCTAGGGCATAAGATATGGAGGAAAATAGAGAGGGGAATTGCACAGAAGAATTTGGAGGGAAATAGCAAGTTCAAACTCAATAAATCTATTTTATATATTTATTCGAACTCATTTCTTAAGTTTATTAACTTGTATTACATAGAGAGTGTACAATCCATAAGCATTTTAAAAAGACCTTATTTCCCTTCAACATCCTAGTGGTAAACCCAAACTCCGAAAGCACCTAACAGGCTAACACAATAGAGTAAACAACTCAGTAATTAGTACAACAATTCATCTACACATTCTATAGCATCCAAATAACATATAACATGTATGAATATATTACAAATATACGTCATTTTATCCTAGGGATCTTGAAAGAATTAGATTGTCAAAATATAGGCAGCAGATCACAATGAGATGAGGTTTAGTAGTAAATGCTTCATCAACACCTGCTATGCGGTGGGTTTGGGTCATTGTGAGGATGGGGGAATGACTCTTATGTGCTAATCCTATTTAAGATACCCAGTATTAGACCGATTGCTAGGTTGATAGGATGCCTTTGTCGTAATCAGCACCTAGGCAGCATAGGACATTGGCTTATCTCATAGTGCAACACCAAATGGTCTAGAGTCTCCTAGCATCTCGAGTTGCAAAGAACTCATGATAGGACAGACTTTACTCTAGATGCATTATTTAGAGAAATCAAATAATATGCTGTAAAAATCAAGAGAATGCAGGATGTTCCCTTGACAAAATGTCTACAACCAAAATGGTTGGCAGAAATATGAAGTACCTTATTAGTTCCATGCTTCAGACGCCGGTACTGTTAAGCAATAAAACAAAAACAAATAAAACATCTCCATTTTATCAAGTGCAATAGGAATTATAAATTATAGCGATTGAGGTTGCACAGAAAACCTTCCCAACATTGAAGTGTTTGGTATGATGACCTAACCAACGAAGATACCTAGTAAGTTTAGCTGCAGTAAACGTTTTGCCGCGAGCTGGCAAACCAACCTGCAGAGGAAGAACATTTTTTTCTTCAATCCTTTTATGAAAATCACTCTACAATTCAATAGAGACACTTCTGGTAGATGTCTCTCATCAAACACCTTAAACCAAACAAGCATTTGCATCATAAATAAACAATAATAAAAGGCTAATAGAACTTAAAAGTAACCGACCAAGACGATTGCTAGATGCCTGTCCTCCTTAGGCCCGAGCATCCTATCTGCAATTGCAGCAGCAGCAACAGCCCCAGCAGCAGCTGGCATTGGATTCTAAGAGTTAAAAGTGGATCAGATGTGTATCTATGGAATAGTTACAGCTTGCAGACATAATACAGATAGGACTTCGATCAACAAACCTTTGTTTCTAAATTTAGATTTGGATCAAGAGTGAAGGTGGTTGTACAGGGTGATTTAACTAGTCTGGGGGACCCTACACCTCTATCCACAGAAGTACATTTGTGAGTACTGTTATTTTGTAAAGATAAAGTTCCAACAGATGTTGACTCAACCATGCCAGAATTTGAAGGCTCTTTAAATTGATCTGGGACATTTGCTTCCATCTCCTAAATAAAATTCATCATAATAGAATTTTTAGTACAATGATTATAAAAATGACTGGAGGCCCATAATATATTTTCCAACAGGGAAATATGCATATTAAACAGACACGCACACATGTGATTACTATTGTTGTTGGTGTTATTGTTGTTCTGGTTGCTGTTGTTTCTAATTACTATTGTTGTTCTTATTTTACTGAGTGATATAATTGATAAAACACAGAAAACTATAAAAACAGTGACAGAAAGGCATGAAAGACTATATAACATGATAGATAAATCATTACTAGTAAATAAGACTCAACTGAAATTTTTAAATATGTAGAACGCCAAATTCTTAGGGTAATCAAAACAGATAATCTTTTTTCCATTGTGATCATTTTATTTACTTTTTATCAGTATATGGATTAACATTATAAGAGCAAGAAAATACCCCAGAACCATTCAATGATCTCGGAGTCTCGGTCAAGTTAGCTGCATAAACCAGTCCAGAGTTTTCCCATGGTGCCGGAGATGGAACAACATAATGCTCAATATCAAGCTCGACGTTCGTAGAAGACCCACTCTGTGTAGTGTACATATGCTAGTCATGAGAAATTGTCTATTGAGATTTGGTAATGCAGCCATGGAAAGAAAAGAAAACACCCCCGCGATATTTAAAAAAATAAACTAGGTAGACTGAAACCTTACCTCATAGCCCATCTGTGTACTCGAATTGATAATAACATCCGGCATCCCTCTGACAGTGGAAGGCTTGCGATTTTCATGAAAAGCTCTCCAACTTGCAGAAAGATCAAGTGGAGAAACTAACCCCACTACACTGTACACCTTAGACTCAACGAGCTCCTCTTCATTGAGCTTAAACAATGCCGTCTGCCGATCTCCTTGAAGCGTTCCCCCAACAAGTACATGGTTAGCTCCCTCTTCCACAATACACGGCCCAGAATCATGCTTAGGTTTGAATAGAAACTTAAACTCCAGCATTTCTATATCGAACAACCAAACGCTACTATTTTATGAGCTCGACCAGATAGGATAACTTAGCTAATGAATTGCAGCAGACTAACCGTGATTAGGCGGGACAACAAAGCTCAATTGCCAAACTGATGATGATTCGCGCTCCATTGGAAGCTAGTGAAGAGTTAAAAGCGAATTGAATATTTGAATCGATTGGATTATACTACGTATTAGTAATACGTATTAGTATTACTGAAGCGCATTCAAACTGTAATGACGAAAAACGTGCGCATGCACGCGCACAATTAGGCAAAAGTGAAAGAGTGAATAAGACCTTACCGCTTTAGAGGAGTCCCAGAGGCCAGCGAGTGGAACGGAGCCGAAGACGTGGGGAATGAGGTCGGATTTGACGTTGAGCTTAAAATCGTCAATTTTGAGGGAGACATGGAGCAAAGCTCCGCCTTGGTCTTCCCAGTTGTCATCTCCATTGGAGCCGCTGGCTAGGTTCTTTGATGAACCGGCACCCATCTTTTACAGCATTGAGCACTTTTTGCCTCGGCTGTGGAATACGATCAGTCTTGACGACTTGACTCTTGACTAATATGCATAGTGCAGTTTGTCACTTCGTGCTCTCGCAAAGACCGCATGGAAGTATTAGGGGTGTTTGGAAGCTGGTCACACGGGCTACCTCTAGAATTGATTTTAGGAGTAAATTAGAGAGCGAGAACCGTTTCTGCACTTTTACTTAAACATTTCAATTTCTGTTCCTGCTCCCTGAATGAGCAGAAGTATTTTTAATAATCAAATCCAAACATCCCCTTAATTCCCTCCATCCCGATGTACTTTGCAAAATAGAGAGAAATGTGCACAACCACAAATTAATTATTTTAATTGAAAAGTTATAAAGTTTTTTGGACAAAAAATAAATGAAAGTTTGAAAAGTCCAATAGGATGGAGGAAGTAAAAATATATTAGGTTTACATCACACTTTTTGGGTACACACATTCCCTAATTGAGTGTGTATATAATCAATTCTTTTACAAGCAGTCATCATCAAATGTCTCTGCACACGAGGAGCACGGGCAGAAGAACATGTACCATTAGGGGAATATAATTTTGTTCACCCCTCAAAAGAGGGTGAACATCACCTCAACCCCTATTGGGCTGCCACATGTCATGGCAATGTTTTTAAATTAAGAAAAAAGGGGATAACAAGCCACATGGCAACAAATGTGAAGGAGGTTATGTTCACCCTCTTAAAGGGGTGAACAAAATTGCACTCCCATTAGGGGGTCTTGCCGTCTTGGCCTCTCCCATTATTTTATTTTTACTATGTTTTACTTTGTTAGATTTTGGAGCCCCTCAAGTTTAATTTTTGGGAAAATGGGCAAAAGAACCCCTGAATTTGTCAAAAAAGGATATCTATGTCCTTAAACTTTTTTTTGGACAAAACACTTTAAAACCCCTCATATGAGGGCAATTACGGCAAATTATAACGTGGGATCGGTCCACCTTCCGCATGGTGTGCCGATCCCACTTTTACAAGTTACGTTCCTTTTTATTCTTCCCTAGAACTTCTTCATTCCTTTTTCTTTTGTTATTCTTTCCTTATTTTTCTTTTCTTTAAATCTTCTCCATTTCCATCAAATTAAAATATTAAAAATTTAATTGTAGTTTTACTTTCCTTATCTTCAATTTAAATTATAATTGAATCTATTTTTTAATTCTTTATCAATACATAACAAAAAGTTTAATAATCTAAATAAAATAAGTACATTACATTTCATATTCATACACTATTTTTTGTAATATCTTTTTTACATTCACACATTTTTTTGTAATATATTTTTATATGCATACACGTTTTCTATAATATATTCTTTTATCACTTTTATATGTTTTTAGAGGTTTTTAAGATATTGAGTTTGTTTATTTTGCTTCTAGCTTGGAGTTACATTTGATAATATACGAAGTTACATCATCTTATACTCCAGTTACAAGTTATTATGCGTGAGTTACATCTTGTTATGTGTGAGTTCCATCTTCTCATACACGAGTCACATACTTTTATTCGCGAGTTACATGTAATTAAGTGTGAGTTATATCAAATTATTTGTGATTTTTTACTTATCTTTATTTTGAACTAATTCAATTATAACTGAATTAATTTTTTTTTTACTAATTTAATACAAAATTTTATTAACCCACATAAAATAAGTATATTGTATTTCATATTCATACACTATTTCTTACTTTGTATACTTTTTTTATATTTATTATAAAAAATAATAAAATATTCCTAAACTCGAAAAAACACAAGTATATTGTATTTCATATTCATACACTTTTTTGTAAAATATTTTTTATATTCATCTACTTTTTTCTATAATATATTTCTTATCTCTTTTATACGATAGTATGTTTTTTGTGTTTTATAGTCATTAAGGTTGTTTATTTCGATTTAAATTTGAAAAAAAAAATGAGAATAATACATGTTTCGTATGTGCGAGTTATGTTTATAGACTATTTCTATAATTACATTTGATATTATATGGAGTTACATCTTCTTATGCACGATTTACATCTTCTTATGCGTGAGTTACATCTTTCTATACGCGAGTTACATTTGAGTTTGCCTCAACAAGTTGCATTTTGCATAAACTAAAGTTAGATTTTCAATCAACGCGGGTTACATTTTCTGTAATATGAATCACATCACAACATAAAGCCTACTATTGCAACAAAAGAATCATTGTTATGCAAAAAAACTGTTTTCCAAAGAAAACAGTTTAATACGAACTGGCAATTACCCCCTCGTTTACGGTGAACCAAGTAACAGAGTTGGCGCTGATTTTTTTTGGAAGACAGCGCAGCCACTCTTAAGAATGCTTCTTTGAGTTTCAACGTAATAAATTCTAATAATATTTATTAACTATATTTGTAAATTATTTGAAATATGTAAAATATATTTGTAAAATATTTTTTCCTAAATATTGCTGAATAAAGAATATTTACCAAATTGATGTTGAATTAAAAATATTTTCCAAAATACTGTTGGGCGAACTCTGGTTAACAGAGTCGTCAATTCAGGTTATTTTTCCTTGGACCGTAATTCGTCCCAGACCAGACCAGACCAGACTAAAACAAACCAGACCAGACCAAACCAGACCAGACCAGACCAGGCCATATTTATTATTATTATTATTATTATTATTATTATTATTATTATTATTATTATTATTATTATATTATTACTATTAGGGGTGTGCACCGGTTCAAAACCGGACCAGACCGTACCGAACCGGACCGGATATCATTCCGGTTTTTCTGGTCCGGCTCGGTTTTCCGGTTTAAACCGGTTAGTGCACACCCCTAATTATTATTATTATTATTATTATTATTATTATTATTATTATTATTATTATTATTATTAGGGGTGTGCACCGGTTCAAAACCGGACCGGACCGGACCGGATATCATTCCGGTTCGATCCGGTTCCAGTTTTTCCGATCCGATTCGATTTTCCGGTTTAAACCAGGCCAGACCAAAACAAACCAGACCAGAACAGACCAGACCAGACCAGCAAATAACAGTCCAAGTAAAAACATCCCGAATTGGCGACTCAAGAGAAAATAGTGAGATGCTACGCATAAAGATGATTAAATAAAACAATTTTCATGTACAAGTACCTAATAAAAAGCGACAAAGTAATGAAATAATGATTATACAAAAAAGTTATTAGCAATTAGAAAAGCATTACTCCTTAGTTATTACGATTAGAGCCCATTTGATATGGCCAAATTAGTGTCCTTAAAAGCAGTTTATATTTTGACGTAAATATAAAGAAATATAAATAGACTATATTTTGTGTTGCATAATTTTTAGCTTATTTACCACATAAAGCTTGTTCAGTAATACTAGTATATGATTTTGACTAGTTATTATGTACGAGTAACTAGATAAGAGTCATTACAGTGGATTTTAGAGTGACAAGTCACTGATAAATGATGAGTCACTAAGAATTAGTCATTAAATATGTCACTTTAAAAAAATTAAATAAGTCACATTTTTGTTTTTTGAATTTGATTTAGTAATATACACGGAAAAAGGCCATGAAATTGAAAAATAATACCATTTCTTTGTAATTCAATAGATCCGATTAATTGAATCGCTTCAGTCAGAATTTCATCAATTTTAGTACATCCATCTGATTAAGTATATTTCAGTGTTACCAAACGGACTCTAATCATAATACGAAGTAATTCTTTTCTAATTGATAATCTTTTTTTGTATAATCGTTATTTCATTACTTAGTCACTTTTAACGGTTTCCTGGTATTTCTAATCATTTTATATATTTTTTATATAGAAAAAGAAATAAGTACATATATACGATTAAAATAAAGATCATTTGCATAAATATGACTAGTGACTATAGTAGTAGTGGAATCATAATAACTTATTTTCAAATTTTAAACTTAAGTTACCATAACACTACATTGTAATAACTATTAGTTATATTTGTATAAATAAAATTTATTTTAATTATATTTTTCAAAAAACCCCTTTTCTTCATTTCTACTGATTTACAAAATTAGTTAACAAATAAAATTGAAATATATTTCGTTGACTATTCAAATGAACAATTAACGGTGGCCAATTCTCTTAAAAAGTTTGACCGTTAAAGAGGGGTATAGTTGCCCTTCTTTGAGGAACTTTAAAGATTTTTGCCCAAAAGAAAAGTTTAGGCACATAAATGTTCTTTCATGACAACTTTAGGGCTGTTTTTGCCCCTTATCCCTTCATTTTATTTTTATATAATAGTGTAAAATACTTTGATCACCTCCCAAATTTTTATTAGATAGTATAAATAATTCCAGCCACCCTGTGTTTCCCACCCTATTTTGGAGGCATAAATGCACAATTATTTCATCACAACAAATATATTACATAATCTATGTAATATAATAAAGCAAACTCTTGGAAAACTCTTTGGAGTAATTCTTGGCATGTGGTAATATCTTCTATATGAAAAAGTGACATGTGACAACACACCATAAAGAAAAAATTATTCAACTTCCAAAACTACACTCTTATGTATTTCAATATACTTTATATGTATAATATATACTACGTATAATCCTTTATTACGATATGTTGTTTTAAACAACACATCTAATTTATTTATTTATTTATTTAGATATTTATCATAATATCCTATGCATAATTAGGTAAAAATTTGCACTTGACGGTAACACAAATTGCAAATACCCATAAAATAAAATTTGTTTTTGTTAACAATTTTTAGTCTCTTTTTTTTAAAAAAAATCTCTCTATTTCTTTTCGTATCTCTTGGAGATGCTCCCTTACTCTAAGTTTTATAAATTGATTCTTATTCCTTTTCAAAGTATGATAATTATTAATTTATCCGTCTCATTGGCTTTCTCACATATTTCCTTTTTTCTTCAATTCACTAGATTTGCGTAGATCTAAGTCATTCTTACATTATCTCTTCTTTTCCAAATTAATATCAATCACAAAAAATCTTTTTAATAACTGCACATGTAGTCCTGATCTCAATGAGATGAGTGTGGTATTACATATCAATTTATTATTGTCAAATTTAATACAGTTATCTTAATGTGCAGTG